GGGGGGGGGAGAGGTGGGAAGGGCTTGTGAGCAAAGGAGAAAATTTCTTTCTTTTTTTTTTTTTGTCTTTTTTTCGTGTCCGGCAACGGATCGCAACCCTCAGTGTTGCGCCCGCACTGGACCGGGACTGGCAACGGGATCGCAACCCTCGGTGTTGCGCCCGCACCTCGCTCAGCCAGTGAGTGGGAACCGGTCTGTACGTGGGATCCGAACCCTCGGCGGAAGCGCCGCCGCACTCCCAAGCGGTGCACGGTAGCAGTGTGCCACCGGGCCGGCCCAAAGGAGAAAATTTCAACCTCACCTACAGCCCAGTCCAGGAGGTCTTGAAGACCAGAACAAAGAAGCTTTAGGTCAGTGTCAAAACCACCTGATATTTTGGCCTGTTGGTCTCACATTAGCATTGCAGCAAATTTGGGAGGACTGGGGCCCTGAAAGAGAGGGGCGCTTGTCCGTCAGGGTGCAGGGCTTGAGGGGAGCCTTACCTAATGCCTCCCCTTCTGAGAGGCACCACAGCTGCACCCACCAAGAGGTGGGCTCTTCCTGCCCCCTTCAATCTGGATGGTACTTGTGACAGCTCCAAGCCACACAGTGTGACGGAAGAGTCCTTGTGGGACTTCTGTGCTCAGGCCTTAAGAGCCTGTGTAGCTTCCACCTCCTTTTGGAAGCTTCTGCTAAAGAATAAGTCCGACTTCTCAAGACTGCCATGTTGGAAGGAAGCCCAAGAAACCACATGGAGGATTCCCCCAGTCGCCCTTCAGTAGAGCAAAATCTTCTCAGGCCTTCCTGCTCCAGCCCCAGCAACTGCAGTCAGTGCCACATGGGTCAGAAGAACCATCTGGCTTAGCCCAGTCACCCCACAGAATCCTGGAGTTAATAAATGGATGCTGGTCTACAAATCTGTTTGGGGTGGTTTGTGTCAGTCTCTTGCCAGGGCAGCTCTGTGTGCTGTGGTCCAGGGAGGACTTATTTATTGATTGACATCCATGATTTCCCCAGCTGCGGAGACTCTGCACACTCACCAGGGAGCGGTTATAATACTTAATCTCACAAATTCTAAGATGCGTGGTGTTTTTGCATTTTAATATCTCTGAGAGTGGACGGATCTAACAATCTTACAGTCAACCACAAAACAGTGTGTGAAAACATGACACTTTCTGAAAGATCCAGAGAGTACTGGTATTAGGGCATCTTCAATTTCGAGAAATACAGAAATAATTATTACAATATCAACAGCAAACATCGCGGCAAACCCGTACCAAACGTTAGAGGGCAAAACATTTTCACTGATTATCTTGGACAACAATAAAGCTATTAATAGGGCCGGCCCGTGGCTCACTTGGGAGAGCGTGGTGCTGACAACACCAAGTCAAGGGTTGAGATCCCCTGACCCGTCATCTTAAAAAAACAAAAGCTATTAACAACAGATTAATAACTTCTGTTTAAGCAGCCCCTGCCCTTTCCGATTCTCACAGAGTCTGCTCAGCGGGGGGCACCGTGTTGCCCTGGGACACACAGCCCACCGCTCCCCGGCTTCGGCGTCCTGGCAGGGGCCAGGCGGTGCACCTCGGCGTGGGGGGCGGCGGGGTCTGAGGGTCCAGGCCGGTGGGGCCGGCGGGGGCGTCGAGGCGCGCAGGGACAGACGCGGCGGAAGGCCTGTCGGAAGTGGGAGCCCAGGAACGCGTAGAGCAGCGGGTTCAGAGCCGAGTTGCTGTAGGACATGCAGTGCGCCCAAGTCTTGAGCGCGTAGGCGGCGTAGCTGCGGGGGTGCCAGGCACCCGCCGGGCCCAGCGCCTGCAGCACCAGGAACAGCTGGATCGGGCCCCAGCAGGCGGCGAAGAGCAGGACCACGGCCGCCACCAGCCGCGAGACCTTGGCCCGCACGGCGCCCGCGCGCTGCGCCAGCAGCTGTCCCTGGGGTGGGGCGTGGGAGGCGGTGGTTAGAGGAAAGGGCTGGGGGCGCGCGGGGCCAACCCCTCTGAGCGCCGCTCCCTGGCCTGCCCCCAGCCCCTCCGTACCTTCCAGCTCAGATTCCCCGGGTGCGCTCCCACCCCTGCGCCGGCCCCGCAATCCGCGCACCTGCAGGGCACCGTCGGCGGGCGCGGGGCGCACGGCGGCCCGGCCCAGGTGGCGCAGCATGGCCCCGTAGCAGGCGCAGGTGGCGAGCAGCGGCAGCAGGTAGAGCGCCAGCAGGTTGTAGAGCGCGAAGGCGCGCTCCAGCGCGCGGCTGGGGAAGGCCTCGCTGCAGTAGGTGCGCGGCCCGGGCGAGAGGCGGTGCAGGGCGAGCACCGGCGCCGACACGGCCGCCGAGCCTGCGCCGCACGACGTGATGAAGACCCCGCCCGGGAAAAAAAAAAAAGATTTTCTATT